TTTTTTTTTTTAAATATATCTTGATTGATTTCAGAGAGAGGAAAGGAGAGGTAGAGATAGAAACATCAATGACGAGAGAGTCATTGATTGGCTAGCCCGCAACCCAGACATGTGCCCTGACCGGGAATCGAACCCTGATCGCCTGGATCCTAGGTCGATGCTCAACCACTGAGCTACGCCTGGCCGGGCAAGATTCTCTTTCTTAAACCTTATTTGGGGCCCTGATTGACAAGCGTCTCCCTCATCCTTTATGGAAACATACAAAAGCAAACAAGCATGATTTCTAAAACAAAAGAATTTTTTTAAAAACCGTCTTTAGAGAGCACGATTTTCCAACTAAAACTTTCGACAAAGGGCTGTAGACATTGCAGGTTTTTTCTCTTGCTCCAGCTGGAGCTGTTATCTTGGAAGAGGCTATAGGTTTTGTCTTACCTTGTGAGAAACAAATAGTCACTGTCTGTTAATTTCTTCTTCCCAGAGAAAGAAAAACATCGTACCATGGTTTGTGTCGGGGTCCCAGGCCCCAAAATGGAAATTTCCTCACAGGTCTTGGAGAGTTTGGTGGAGTAGGGGTGGGGAGGTCAGACACTTTTGTTTATATTCTGATGTCACATGGGAAGTGCCCTCCAGATTTGGGAGATAGATGCACCAAAGTCAGTAAAAGTTTCCTAGAGATAGCCGTTTGTGGTCCAGTGAAGTAAATGGCCAGCAGAATCATGCTTGGCTCACTTCTAGGTACTAACTTACTGTCATTTCTGGATGAACTACTGCCTTCTCTGTTACCTAAGACCAAGGAGAAGAGATTCACAAGTACACTCTAAATATAAATAAAATATAATATACGCAACATCAAATTCTATAGCTCTATAAACTTCTCTATATGCTTGTTTAACTTGGAGGTGGCAGAGGGATAGGGTTGAATTGTGTTTTATGGGCAGAAATGGAAATGAGGGTAGACATCTGTCAGGTAATCTGAGCCCATGTTCTATTTCTATGGCTCAGATTATTCTTTCGGTTTTAACTGGCATCCTTTCCTTTGTTAAATCTCTTCTTCAGTGTGGCTGTGACACAGTGGCCTCTGTTTACTGTGCTGCACCTTTGGGTGGGATGTCTGTAAAGGGCTTGCCTGGGATACGCTCAACTCATTGCTTCTCTTGATTTAAGCTGCATATAGAAGATGGGGACACAGAGCCTGGAAAGCAGATGATTCCCCTGGGGCTCATCCTAGTTATTACTCTGAGCCTTATGAGCAGAGTTTGGTATCTCCTTAAATGAATTTATATAAGATAGACTTGAATTACGGTTTATGCAGAACCTTGTGGAAAATGAATTAGGACTTGATTCAGCTAAATAACTGTGTTCTGAGCTCGATGGACTCTGGGTTAATAGCATTTGAACAGATGGGCCCTCCTCTTCCCAGATCGCTGAGGAACCTGCTGGACGGTGAGATGGAGCACTCGGCTGCCCTCCGGCAAGAGGTCGACACCTTGAAAAGGAAGGTGGCTGAACAGGAGGAGCGGCACGTCATGAAGATCCAAGCCTTGGCAAGGTAGGAGGGCAGAGGACCTGGGAGATGGGTGCAGGAGGTTTTATTAAAACCCAAGCACACCTTTACTAGCACTTTTTAATTAAAAAAAGACAGTGACCAGTGGAAGTAAAATTTATGTATTTGAAAGTTCAATATTTTATTGAATACATATTGAATAATATGCATGCATGTGGTTCAGAATACAAAAGGTATAAATGATTAAAGTGTGCAATCTCCAGCAACCCCATTTGCCCTGGAGGTGGGCGATGTTACTGCTCCCAGAGATGCTCCACGCATACACAGCTGATATGTGTGCACGTACTTTCTTTTCATTTCCCTCCCTACCTCCCTTCCTCCCTTCCTCCTTTTCTCCCTTAACGCACAACATGGCATGTTTTCCATACCACTCACTTGACACAATTGTAGAGATTGTTTTGTGTGGGTGTACACAGGGCCACCATCTTTAGTAGCTCATATTTCATTGTCTGATGGCACCAGAGTTTATTTGAGCAGTGCACCAACAGCCCAGGCACTGAGGTAGTTTCCAGTCTTTTGCTACTTCTGATGATGCCACTGTGGATAACCTTTGCGTTTGTTATTTTGCTCCTATGTGACTGTATTTGTTGGGAAATTCATGGAAGTAGAATTGCAGGGTCAGAGTTGTGTGCTTTTCTCCATGGGATGGAGATCATCAGCTTGCCCCCCATGGAGGCTGAGCCAGTGGACGCTCCACAGCAGTGGGGAGAGGGCGGGACCACACAGCCCTGCCCACAGGGGTCTGTCCGTTCCAACTTCTGGGCCTTCGATAATGTTGCAGGTGAAAATTGGTGCTGGCAGAATATTTTTCATTTGCATTTCCCTAATTAAGAGTATGGTTGAGCCTATTTTTATTTAAGAGCCATTTTATTTTTCTGTGATTTTGTTTATATCTTATTAAGGAAAACTCTAAGGTGAACTCCTCAAAATTCCAGCTCTCATAAAAACATGCATCTTCACAGAATTATTCACATGGAAAGATTTTTATGTACTATATGTAAAATCTATAGCCTGCCATTTTTTTAGTCTGCCTTTCTCCCCCACTTAAGCTTCCTATTAACCATTTCTGTTGCCTGGCTGCAGCATCTCATTGAATTCAAGTACCATATTAAAATAAGCACTTGCTGGACACGAGTTGTTCCAGTTTTTCCCCCATTTTAGGTAAGATAAATAGCTTATTGGTTGTTATTTAAAACTATTTTGAAGTAAGACCAGGAGATAAATATGTCCTGTGGACGTGCGAAGGGATCTGGAGTTCAGTACGTTTTCAGCAGCAGCATTTATCATCCCTGTGCTGTCGGGGAGAGGGCGGATGGCACTAATGTAATTGTTATGTGTGTGGAATCAAACGTTGGCACCCTGATCCCATATTTAACTTCAATTTGGACTTCTCTCCGTTCTTTACATTTTAAAATGACATCTCAAGAGCATCAGGGACAGTTAAATGACTACAACAAATACAGTAATCAGGCCCTAATTTGGCACTTTGTCAGCTGGACCAGCGTTTTACCTGGCCCTGCGAGGATTCTGTGGTTAATGGTGTTTGTTCACAGTAAAGGCTCAAGTCTGTAGAGACTCTGGGTTTGAACCATCAGAGAAAGACAGACGTACATTCCCTGTCATTTTTGGATTGTGTTAGGAGTCAGCTTAGCCTTGACCCCCCTGCTCTATTGCATGAAGATTGTGTATTTCTTGGTGAACTGCTTAACTTTTGTAAGTGTACATTTCCTCATTTATAACATGGAGAGGCTGATCTTATCCACATGGGAAGACCGAATGAGGAAGAGTGTGTGTGGAAGTACACAAGGCTCTGAACACGAGCAAGTTATTGCAAGTGTATTTTACAGGAAGCGTATTTTAGTATGTGATAATTTTTAGGAAAATTTTAGCCCAGGAATGGAGTAGAAAAATTTTTCTTAACTAAGCAATTTTATAACTTGAAATCTCCTCATTTAAACAGTGGATTGCTAAGAGTTTAAGGTGCCTGAAAGTTTGCAGTTTGCAGGTAGAAGGATCATCTGTAAAATAAGCAAATACTTCAGGAGAAAACAGAAAGAAAGTAAATGGAGAGGCTGGATGTGTGTTTTGAAAAATTCAACTGCTGGCATGTTCCAGGCAGAGTTCATCTTTGCAACTGTCAGAACCTTCTTGCTACAGGAGTAGTAGCTGTGAGTGTTCTCAGGCGGTGGTCCTGCAGGGTCAGTTGTTGCTTGAGGACTCTAGGGCACAGACAGGGCAGTGAGGCTGGGCCAGGTCTGTGTGTGAGCATTGGGCTACCCTGTTCTCAGGTCCACGTGTGTTTAGGTGTCAGTTATCATAATGCCAGTGGTTTAGCCAAGAAGTTGGTGGCAAGGATTCTGGATTGGACTGCAGGAGTCTGACTATGGCTCTACTGCTTATTAGTTGTGTGACCTTGAGCAAGTTACTTAATGTCTCTATCTCCTTAGTTATAAATTGAGGATAAGAAAACTCTCTACTTCATAGAGTTGTTGCACAATAAAATGAGAGACCATATGTCAGCTCAATAAATGTGCTTCATAAATGCTCAATAACTGTTAACTATCATTATCATTTTTCTTTAGTATGATAATTATATTACTAAGAAACCCTGCCAAATCAAAAGTTATATTTTAACAGCAGTGGTGCAGAAAGAATTAAGTACTAGGCTATATCAGACTGAAAAAAGTGAAATTATTTTTGCTATAAGTATTCTAAGAGTGTGTTTGTGTATATGAGTGTTTTATTGGCTCTGAGTATATGCTAGTTGTAAAACTGAAATATCCTTGAACAAATTCAGCATTTTATTACATATTTCTTTTTGCTCAAAATTAATGGCTTTCCTTTTATGCTATCATGGCCCAGACAAGAACAGGGCCCCAAGTAGCTGCTCGTTTCCGAGATGGAGGCATTATAATCAATAGCAGTTCAGGACAGATAAGCCCATTCCCTAAATAATTGATTGCCTTATTTCCCATTGAATGAAGAGAAGTCAAACTATGAGATAGGTGTTCATAAAAAGTCACACGTTGACATGAGAAGTACCTTTGTGAGAAGCAAGTGTGCGGGGTTGTGGATTATCGGGGAGACATCTTCTTTTCCTCTTCATTGTATTAGTTTTCTCTTGCTGTGTAACAAATTATCTCCAAACTTGGCAGCTTAAAACAATAAACATGATCCTCCACAAATTCTGTGAGTTAGGAATCCAGGATGGCTCAGCTGGGTGGTCCTGGCTCTGAGTTTCTCATGAGGTTGCAGTCAAGCTGTTGGCTAGAGCTGCAGTCATCTGAAAGCTTTGCTGGGGCTGGAGGGGCCACTTTTAAGCTCACTCATGAGGCTATTGACAAGGGCTTCAGTTTCTCACCATGTAGGCTTCTCTATGTTGCTGCTCACAACATAGCAGCTGGCCTCCCAGAGTGGGTAACCAAAGAGCAAGAGAACATATCCAACATGGAAGCCACTGTGTCTTTTATAACCTAGTGTGGAAATGAGCTACGAGTTACTTCTGCTATACTCCATTGTCACACAGATCAGCCTTGGTTTGTGTGGGAGGGGTCTGCACTTGGGTGTGCATGCCAAGAGGTGAGGATCATTGAGAGCCATCTTGGAGGTTGCCCACCATGCCCACCAGGCTTCTGTTTCGCCTTGGGGCAAACACTACCCCAATCTTCCTTGGCAGGTTCTTCCTCCTCCCCTTTCTGCTCATGTAGTTTGGAGCAACTGACCCTACCCCTGCCCACCCTGGGTTCCAGAGCAGGCCAGGTGGTCCAGGCCTAGACAGTTTGTCTCATCCCTTGGCCATCATGATCTGGTCAAAGAAGGGCATGTGGCCAGGCTGATCTGATAAAAGCTGACTATAGCACTCTTGAGAGGATATGAGATAAGCCAGGAGTTATTGGCAGCTGTCTTTGCTGCTATGTACAAAGATCCTGACACCCACATGGTGATAACACAGTGGAAAAATAGAGGGAGAGAGAAACCCACAGGTCCTGATGATGTCATTTGAGCTCCTGGATCCAGTCTTTCCTGAAACTGTTTTTCCTCTGGACTTTTCAGTTATGTGAGCCAATAAATTCCTTTTGTAACTTGAGCCAGTTCATGACTGGTCTTCTCTTATTGTATCCTGAGTCCTGACTAACGAGGCTTCCTAGTTTGGATATTAGGGGATTGGAGCAAGTTGTGTTTTCTCTGTGCTCCCTCTACAATCAACCTGCCAGGTCCATGAAGAGACTTCCAGGTTGATGTGACTCACCAAGGATGTGAACACACCAATTGGATTGGTTGACAGCACTGCTCAAGGCCTTTTCTTCCCATCTCTCTTGTGGGACCAGCCTTACTATTGCTCTTTTGTCACAGCCTTTCTTTCCTCTTGAGGACCTCTGGTGCACTAACAAGAACATGTCAGTTGTTTGACCAGAGCCATTCCCTTTCCCCATCTGAGCCTCTGGTTCTTTGTCTGTTTAAAAATTCAGAAGGAGGTGGTGGCATGGACCCTCCTCCATACTTCATGTGAGGATGCTGTGCTACTGTGGTCTGGCATAATAGGCATAATCACATTAATGTTAATGTGATTTTAGCAGTAGAAACCCAAACCAAATGAGCTTGGGTCAACAGGGGGATTTTGTGCTGCTAACTAATTGGTCACTTTCTTCAGGCATCACAGAACCCAGGTGCTCCAGTGAGGTCAGCACTATCCTTCCCCCTGCTCTTAGCTCTGGGCCGCCTTTGTGTCAGTTACTTTTTAGTTGGGGCCTCTGCACATAGCTGCAAAGATGGCCTATGGTAGCACCAAGCCTTGTGCAGGATCCAAAGAAAAGAGCTCTCTTTCTCCTCTCCTAGTGGCCATACGTAACATTTTAGGAAGGCTCTTCATTGGGTATGTTGTGGCCAGGAGTGAGCAGAAGGCCATGGTTGACCGCCTCTCAGGCCCCCAGGGCTGGTAAATCATGTGGGCAGATAAATCCTGTGGGTTATGCTTCCTCATAGGA